GGCTCTATTGAATTGCATACAGTTGGCCTGGATGCTCAGCCCTTAGAGCTGGGGCAGTAGTAAAAAAACCCACCTCCCATGCTCCTGACACAGGAATTACATCAGTCCTTTGTGTTGTCATGATTTAAACTAAAACCTACAAGTGCCAAACCCTGTGCTGGCAGCTGCAGGAGGCTGCTCATGCAGGCTGGTATCACTGTTTATAACTACACAGCCTGAGCATCCAAAGGATACTCCTGGACACAGAAACATGTTCACACTTCAAAGGCACCTTTGAAAACTCTGCACCAAAGCGTTCATCTTGGCAGTTGGTTCTGCTGATTGTGTGAGTGTGACAGATGCTACTTTGTCCCAGCAGAGTCCACTCTGACAGGGGCAGAGTGGGGGATCTTTGTGAAAGGAGAAAGAGGAGAGGGGGAAAGAAAAAGCAGCTCTGATACACTTGAGTTTTTGAAGGTAGCACTCTGTTTGCATCACCTCAGGCTGTGATACTGTCAGATCTCCAGCTAAGCAGAGCCAGGCTTGGCTTAGTAATTGCCCAGGAGAACCCCCAAGCAGGGAAAAAAAAAGGAAGGAAGAAAGGCACTGAAATAAACAGTGCAGGTGACGGAGTACAAGGCATTCCTTTCTCCTAGTCAGAAGCAAATCAATTCCTCAGCACAGCAGGACATGGTGCTGCACTTCTGGAGGTGCTACCTGGAAGATGAGATATCAAACTGCAGCCTTCGCTGCTTGTGGTCATTAAAGATTTCCTGGCACTTCTTTCGAGAGCTGAGTAGTTAACCCTGCATCCTGGCTGAATTCCAGTTTGGGTGATTACATTTTCCTGACCTTCCTCTGCACCTTCCTCCTTTATCTGCAGTAAATTGCAGAGATTTACTGACTACACCAAATGAAAGGGGCGGGGGTAGTATCAAGGAGAGAGATTAAACTCAGAATGATTTGGGACCACAAAACAAAAGGGCACATCAGTGCCACTCACTGTGGAGAAAGTAGAGACAGAAAACTGAGGACAAGTACAAGAGGAAGGAAAAATGCCTTCTATGATCACTAGACTTCATTACTCAGAAGAAAGTTGTGAGCAGTGGGAAAAGTCTCCAGTGCACAGCTAACCTACAGGTAAAGGCAAACAGCAAAAAAAAGCCTTAGCTGGGATTCCTCAGGTTGGGATCTCTCCACTCTCGCCTTGCTAGAGTTACACAGAGCAGCACAAGGGCCTGTTCTCCTGCTCAAACACTGCTCCTCCCTCCTTTTAGCCAGCTTCCACTTGCAGATACCCTGGGCTTAGCTCTGCTACCTGTATATATCCCGGGCCATTCCAAAGTCTCCAATTTTAGCCACTCTCCCAGGCCCTCGACAGGTAAGGAGGCAGTTTCTGGCAGCAATATCCCTACAAGGAAAGGGAAGAAAAGCAACACAAAGAGAAGAACCACTTAATCATTCGACAATTTTACAAGCCCAAAAGAAAACAGAATAGTATCTACTTTCCTGAGCTGCAGAGAGCACACAACAGGCAGAAAAATAAGTGTTTATGAATAACTAGTGATGTCCCAGATTCTAATCAACCCCAACAGCAGGACCAGTTTTGCTTTTCAGCTTTTCCTCTTTAAACTTCACGTAACATCTTCCAGCTGAAAGGATGGGCCTTCTGTGAGCCTCCCCTCACCGCAGGAGGTATTTTTAAGCAAGCAGTGGGGCTGATTTCAGCAACGTCCTAGTGCCATCATCAAGTTGTCCAAGGAACAATCTACTGTCCTGTTCCCGGTGTGCTTGTTCAAATACTGTCAACCAGGTGTCGTACTGACAGAGACAGGAAAAACAACCACATGCAGGTGTTGCTCTGAAGGCTGAATGGGCCTGAATATGTGTGTGCAGGTAAAGCTCCAGCTCTACCTCTGCTGGGCTGAAGTAAACCTTGAGATCTTAATAACATGGTGGCATGCCTCGTGGGTGAGTCTTGAGTAACTCTTGCAGAAGACCGAACCATGATCTCTCCCTACTCATCTCTACTCAATGGGTAGAATTTTAGACACTTGCCAAACACCCTGTTCTGCAGGAGCAGGTGACAACAGTCATGAGGTGTTGCACTTCTGGGTGTACTTGTACAGCTGTTCTTTGAGAGGGAGAAGAAAAGGGTTATGGATTGAGCAGAAAGGCACTAAGGAAAACTCATGACAGGGAGAGTTTTGAAGACTTCGGTCACAAGGTTTTGTTTCCATTTGCACAGCAGCCAAACAGGCTGCATAAGTGCAGGCACCGAGAGAACTCAAAATCTCTGGTAAAATTACAGACCTCTGCAACCTGATTTATAGCAGCATTTATGTTAATTGCTTGTTATTCTGACTTTATCTACCTTGTATCAATGTATCCAGCCACTAGAGTGCAGCAGGACATAAATATAGCAAGCAGGGCATTACCAGTCCCGTGTGCCAAGTCCTGACCATGCTGACACAGATGTGTTCACCTACCTGTGAATGAAGTGGTTCTCCTCCAGGTACTGACATCCACAAGCAATGTCACGAGCCACATGGAGCAAGTCCAGCATGGAAAGGGAGGAGGGCTGATTCTACCAAAAAGACAAGGGACAAACGTGGGTTAAAAGCAAGCACATGGCATGATTGTCACTGATACAGCACTGGGAACTCTCCAAGAAGTGATGCGGCTCAGATGTTAATACACTAAGGGATTACAAAAATGTGCAAGAGAGGGTTCATATCCATAAACTATGCGAAGGATGTGCAGGCATGATGTCATACAAATCCCACGGAATGAATCAGAACAGCTGGCTCTGACTTCTCAGCTCCACTGGGATGCCCCTGCAAGAATTTCTCCCAGTTCTCCTGGGGGACATTTCTGAATTTCCAGCCTGATTTTTGAGATCTGTAGCCTGAATGGGTCTTTACTCAGTTTCTTCACATTATTGCTAGCTCCTCTCTAAAGTCACCTTGAACAATGAGAATGACATTTTGTATAATAGCATGAGTCACATTTGCTCTTTTTTCCCTCCTCCACATCTGTGTAGGTTTTATCTTGCCCCTCAGAGCACTGACACAGGTTTGTGTAGCCAACGGCTATGGAAGACTAAGGCTGCCAACTCCTTCCTCCTGCCCCTCTGATGAAGTCTACAGCCCCTGCCAGCAGAAGCCAGATGCTTTAGCAAAAAGGGCAAGCTCAGCACCGGCTTCTGTCTGCTGGCCTCTGAAGCCAAACCATCAGCTTTGGCACCAAGGCGTGAATCAGTGATCCCTGCAGCCAGAATTCGCTGCTGCCTGCAGGGTGATGACAAAAATCTGAGTGGCAGTGACCGCTTATTCCAGCGCAGCCATTTGCTGTTTATCTGCGGCCTTAGTTATCGGCCAGGCAAACTTATCCCATCCTCTGGCTCTCTCTTACAACACCTACCCCTCTGCTCAGTGCCCAGAGTAATCTCTCCCACCAATGCACAAACCCACATGGGTTCTCCAGTGACAGGGACTGCTGCCTCTTCCAGCCTGTCTGCTGTGATGAAAAGTATCTCCAGATCCACGCAACACTCTGCTGGCCATCCCACTCCAGACCCACGCAACACTCTGCTGGCCATCCCACCTGACCTAAACTGCTCCTAACTGGGACTGGAAATAAGACCAGAGTCTGCAGCAAGCAGCAGCCAGTAGTTAAACAGTGGACACTGGCTAGCAAAACCTACTCAAGTCATAACGTTTTCTGACGAGATTAGGAAAAACCTGACCTCAATATCTGACTAAGGAAATAACTGAAAAATGCTGCATCTCTGTGTGAACAAAGCCTGTTTTAAGTGCAGTGCCATAAACCAGAATCATTTGTGACTACGTACCACCTGCCTCTATTTTATTATTTACACAGTGTAGTTTAGTGCATATATATACTCAATTGATTCTCTAAAACACTAGACTGCATCTTCCTCATAATATTTCTTTTTTTGTAGAGTAACCATTTCCTGAAAACATAAAGCCTCTTTCCTCCTCTCCTTTTGTGGGGAGTATAATCTATTTTACCTCTGTGAGTTAAAGTGACTCACCAGCTACACAAGATGGCTACAGTAAGAAAGGATGCAGATGTCTTCTTTTTCCCTTTCAGGGCATTACCAAAGGGAAATGAGTATCTCGATATACCCATTCCCTCCTCTTCTGAGCAAGGGTCAGAAACCTGAAGTGAAAACCGAGTAAAAAGCCCTATTCTTTACTGTGAAATCAATTCCAGACCTGAGCTATATTGCAAGGCAGTCAGTAGGCTGAAGGCACAAGATGATTTGAACAGTATAGCTTTTTTTCTCTTTTTCACTGCTTTTTTCCTTCCTTAGATGAATTTCTTCCACCTTTTATTTGGCTAAGCACAGCCCTAAAACAGATGTGACTGCCCAGCCAAGGACAATTTAGCCATGCAATTTGTTTGAAAAATGGAGGTTTGGGATTCATTTTGCAAGGGGAGCAGCCTTGAGACACCAAAGGATTCACTTTACAGCTTGTGCTCCCCGGATGAATGGACAACATCGGATGCCACGCACCGCTGCTCAGAGTGGTGGGCGTGCTGGAAGCGCCATCGTGACACCTCCCTGGGTGAGGCTGAATCTTGCTAATGGTGGGTGAAATTCTGTGTACTGCTCAGCAGTTGCACTGCTCTGTGCAACAGGCTGCAAAACACAAAGTAAGGGAATCATTTATCTGTATAAGATTTATCTTCCAGGGCTGTTCTTTGATAGCTGTGCTCTGTGTGTGTGAGAAAAATCAGCACTGAAATTCCCAGAAAGGACAATTCTGCAATGCTCATAAATGAGCAAAGTCTCCAATTCCAGGCATCTTCAAATCTACCAGACCGCCTCTCTCCAGACGAGGAGGAAAGGGTAATCCTGTAATAGGTGTGAAACGTTATTAGAAATGGAACACGGAAACCCTTAAGGGCTGCAAAGCCTGGACCAATGGAGAAATACGGATCTGAAGTTTACAGAGTAGATCCGGCTGGCATAAACCAACAAGAGTCCACAAGAATCACTGGTATTTTTGGGTTAACATTTGGCTTACACATATGATGATTCTTGCTTAGACTCAAGAAAAACCGTTCTGTGTTGGCTGAACATTGCTTTCATTATTTACATGAAGAACACAAGCAAAAAACATGCAATAACCTGTGCTGGCAGCTTCTTGAACTCCCAGTAAGTTAGATCCCATGTCCAAAGCTCTAGCTTTCCATTTCATGTCCCTCACAATGTCTTAAGTTCCCCCTTCCCTCACTTCCCCTTCCCCTTCCACGCTTTCCAGTGGCTGAGTACACGGCAGCTGGCTGCGTGAGTCTTGCTCCAAGTCACACAGGTTCTTGCTGGTCAGTGGCAAGCCAAACAAAGACAATTGTTTTGCTCAATGCTTGCCCTAGCATGGTGCTTTCTTCTTCCTGAAGCCTTGGAATTAATGGCAAGTTAACACCTTTCACACCTCTATTAGATTTGACTGAAACTGGCAGATGAGTTCAAAGTTACGGGCAGGGAAGTGGGGAAAGTAACTGAGGGATGAAGGTAGAGAATGAACAGATAAATCTCTCTTTTGCAATCAGGCTGAAAGCAGAAGAAGGTGAGAAAGGCAGGGTGGTAAGGAGATCAGCTGGAAAATAGAAAACTGGAAAAAAGTGAGAGGAAATGACAATAGTAATTTATATGGTGCTTAGTGCACAGTAAGAAGTGCACCTCTGAGTCAGTCAGCTTGGTCTTGTGTGTTCAAATAAATTCCTGTTGGAAGCAAGCTCACTGAAGACTGTTTGCTCTGCACTCTTCCTTGTCTTTCCTTTCATTTAATGGGCCTGGAAAGCCAGATGCCCAGTCTGCTATGCCTGCCTTCTGCCCATCTTCCCTGAGTGAGCAGTAGGAAGAACAAAGCAGCTCAGGGTTCATTAAGAGCAGTGTAAAGATCCACCCAGCAGTACTGAGCCATGGGCCTTACGTACGGAGAATCTGTCACAGCTCCGGTATATGCAGAGGATAAATCCACTTCCACAGCTGGATCCCACACTTCACGAAGCACAATGCCCTGAGCACGTCTCATCTCTCATCAGTCAGTTTCCCAGCCTCGCAGTTTCTGAGCCAGCAGTGAAATGTGTGCAGCGAAGGCTGATGTCTCAGCTCTCACAAGCACCATTAGTCCCTCCGACGCTGCCCTGGCACCCAGACAATGAATTACCCCGTCACTCTAGCCAGGCTGCCACCACGTGGGACAGCAGCAGAAGCAGGGCAAAACAAGGGGAAGGAAGGTGTTAGAAGAAGCAGAGCAGAAATGTGTCAATCTGTGTCTGCACGCAGTCAGGCTGTCCCCACTGCCCCAACTGTTAGAGAGGGACTGGAAACTGGTTTTCTCAAGCAGTTCCAGCTTGCAGCTGCCCATTTGTGTTCCAGCCTCAGCTTTTCCAAAGAATGACAGGCAGCAGCATCAGTCCCAGGTCTGCTTGGGAAAAAGTTAAACCCAGGAATGGGATCTTCAAGGCACTGGGAACAGCCCCTGCGTGTAGTAGCAGTTATGGTCAGTCTCAGATAACCTCAGACAGGTCAGGAAAGACAAGGAAAGAGGAAGGGGAGAATGTGACGGCAAAGACAAATACTCAGGAAGTAATGTATCCTGGGCCTGGAGTGACCTATCCATCTCTTCTGACGTAAGATTTCACAGGGACTGCACGGAGCTACCGCTAAGAAAAGGAAGCCCTGACATGCAGGGACGAACTCATGACTGGGGTAGGGGCAAACACAAAGAAATCTCGCAGATCAGGAGGCTCCAATAACTGCATCCTATAAAGATTAAGGGCTTTTCATCCACAAAAGCAGCTGGTTCATTTTACTGCAAGTAGGTAAAAA